CACACACACACACACACACACACACACACACACACTAACAGCAGGCCATGTAGGAGGAGAACAGAGTGAAGGGACACAGCACCTCCATACTTTTATTCCCCGCCGGTTCACCCAACACCACATGTGTAATATAAATGTTTAGGGGGTGAACAGTGTGAAGTCACTGAAAATGTATTATTTTATATGTTCCTCACAGAAAAAGAGCAATGGCCAAGCCTCAAATCTGAGGTTGAAATAATAATAAATCGCATCATTTTTTATTTCTGTAAACTTTGAAAATGGGTCCCACAGACCCCAACACCACACAAGGGTTGAACCAGCCTGGTAGTTTCAAATGTAAGCAAATATAACATTATGATCAGTGTAGCCTATCAAATTTCACCTGACTGTATAATCATGCTATATACACACACACACAGGTCATGCATTATAATAAAAACCCAAAAATATTTACAAAAATTCCTTTTTTAGCCTCAAATCCATGACAAATAAATTCCATACGATAAAAAAAAGTGAAAAAAATTGATGTTTGTTTTTTTCTCACTGATGTCTTAATGAATCAAGTGAAGGAATTCTGTCAAAAATGTGCATTCTAAATCAATGCCATGTTTGTGGTCTTATGTAGAAGAGACTTATGTTTTGAATTTGATGAAAAGTTATCTTTGTGTATCTCTTAACATTGAAACAAATGCAAAAATCAGGCCTGCAGTCGATACAGACTGTAAATCTAAAGTAAATATAATTCATTATGTAACTATGTAATTAATATTGCAATACCTTTAAGTAATACAGGAAAGTGCATAATAACTCTCAACTGTGAAAGGTCTTCAGTTATCCTGATAAACTGAGAAAAGCCTGCTTTGTAAAACTCCCCTACTGAACATTGTGTCTGTGACTTATTCAACATTTGTGATTTGGGTTTTTGGGTTACTGATGCAATGTGAGTGCTGAGGATTGTTCTAAGCATGTGTTAGCTAACAACCCAAAGCAAAAGCCAGAAGCACACCTCATTACTGTGTCTGCGAGTGTGGGTATTAGTTACATGATCAATCGTGTACTTGGAAGTCTGTGCTATTACTAACCAGCTTTAGCTACAAGCTGCTCTGGGTTGAAAATAGGTTATTCTCTCTGTCTGAGAATGAGCATGGGCCATGACCTGCGTCTGTGACTGTATAATGCATGCACGCACACTGCACAGTCACTAGTGTACGAGAGAGTTTTAGTTCAGTGGTTGGTATAGCATGCAGTAAGAGGTACTGTCAAAATACAGAGGGAAATGCAGATGGATAAAGCAGGATAAAAGAGGGATAGAGCAGGATGGATAGACAGAGAGAGAGAGAGAGAGAGAGGAAGAGAGATTGAAACAGCTCTATTTCTCATCTGGTAATTGAAGGTGAGAAGTGATTGCATTATCCGCAGGAAGGAGAGTAATCTGCTATCACCTCATGAGCTCCTCATTTCCTCAAGTGCAGCTCAACCCCTGACTCCAGCAAAACACACACACACGCACACACACACACACACACACACTGATACATACATACATACATAAATACATTTAGACTGTGTAATTGCTCTCTGCAGCTGTTTTCATGTAAGCATATGGCAATTTGTGTTGCTCTAGTACAGGGCCGTCCAAAGTGTGAGGATGTTTGATTTGGCCCTCACCCAGTCAGAGAGCTAACCTATCTTTATAAACATATCACTGCTGTCAGAACAATACCTTGTTTCTCCATTTCTGTTGTTTTTCAGGTTTTGACATAAATTGAAAATGTCTGTTGCCCCTTATTTTAAGTTACATTAAGTTAAGTAGATTTTTTCCTTTTCCTGGAAAGTTATCATTTTGGGTTTTCTTCCGACAACAGCGATATATTTATACTATATTTATGCTATTAAATTCTTATTTTCTGTTTAAAAAGTGTATTTTTGAAGTATTGTCATAATAAAAATATGGTGTAATGTCATAAAATATATTTTTAAAACTAAGTTTGAATCCTATCTACATTTTTATTTTTATATTTTGTCTTTTTGGTCCTTGGCCCGCCACAAACACTGCACTTTGATTCCCCTAAGATAAAAACTTTGGGAGCCACTACTTGAAAAAAATGTATAAAATGAGACTGTTGCACTTTTATAACGAATGTGGATGGTTCATGTCTTGATGATGTCCAACATGTGCAGTAAGGTCAGTATCAATTCTAACACTGATCCAATTTATTGAATCGGTGCATGACTAATTATTTAAATGATCTATGAGTGAGAAATAATGCTGGTGACAAGTGTGACTTATAAGGGTTATAATGCTGTACGTATAGTACATATATAATACCTGATCTGTATCTGTATACACATCTTTGTGTCAATTTTTTATCCATTTTGATGGTGAGAAACTATAATTCACCATCTAGACTGCTAAAAAAAGAGCAGTAAGTGCCTTTTCCTCTGACAATTATGTTCTTGAGGCCTTCCAGCCATGGATGATGCACAGCTGGCTCACCCCTACACTACAAACCCAGCTTTTACTGGCTCAACCACCCGGGAAACGCTGGAGAGATTATGATGACATAACCAGTGACCAACTTTCAGCTGCTAGGCTAGTTGCTAGGACTTTAAGTTTCTCCTTGCAATTTGTGACCTCTAAGTGTCATAAGTGTGTTTTTTTTCTTTTCCCTTGTTAATACCTTTTCCTGATAAACCTTATGGTGGCCTCTCAATATGTCATACAGCTGATCAGTCCGCCGAGCTGCAGAATTTGTGGAGAATAGCAAGCAGAGGCTGCCTATTTAATGGCAGAGGCATATGTTGACGTTTTATCAATAGGCATTATTAAATCTTGCTTGGGTGAGTTAATCTTAGGTTGATGCTGCGGAGAGGTTGAGAGAGACAGGCATTAACAGGCCCATGTGAAAGGCAGGTCATAAGCTGCTTATTATATCGACTCTCTCTCTCTCTCTCTCTCTCTCTCTCTCTCTCTCTCTCTCTCTCTCTCTCTCTCAAACACTCTCTCGCACACGTGCACACACAAAAACACACACACAGCCTCTGTTTCTGTCATGCGCTCACTCTGTTGTTTGTAATACAACACAAATGCAGCCACATCTACACGCACAGGCAGACAAAACACACTGGAAGCGTTAAGACTGAGCCAGTAGACATGCTTGCAGAGACTATGTGCCCATGCCAGATTCTCTCCAGCTCTCTGCAGAGGCACTGAATGGGGGGGTTAGGATGATTCCAGGGACACTGACGAGACAGGGGCCCACTTTTTTGTGTGTGTGTGATTTTTAGGCCTAATGAAATACTCCTAATTGAAGCACTTCGTTCATTAAGTACTAACAAAAGAGTACTTTTAGATACAGTGTGAACAGCACTACATACTTTCTGTCACCCCTCCAGTGGACCACTCCATGTAAACATTCAGTGGATTAGCCTGGTCAAGGTCTGTAAGAAGAATGAGACTTTTGGTTTTAATACTAACAAAGATGACGAAAAATTTAAAAAAAGAAAGAAGAACAGCAAAAACAGGAATGACAGTTTTTGGAGGTAATAGCAGGATATTAATATGTTGGAGCTGTTAATAGGAAAGAAGCTTATGCTTTAATTGTGGTTTTCATATGGAAATGAAGTGACAGAGCCATCCTACTGAAAAAGTTAAGTATTTTTGAGTTTTCCCCTTGAAAAACAATATACCCTCTGTTTTTGGATAGATCACTTTATTAATCCAAGAGGGTAAGTCATCTGTTACAGCAGCACAAAGTACAGTAACGAGTAAATCCTCATGAACATCATTAGTGGATCTCAGGGAAGGAATAGAATACAAGAAACATGTAGGACATGGGCCCTTTAAGGCATGTGAGCTGAGGCAAGAGGCCCAAAATTCCTACTCCTGGCTCTCCAATATACTCGCAGAGAAGTGATGTCACACACGTGTGTGTGTGTAAACCTGCACACGTCCCCAAACACACAAGCAGCAGCTCAGCGTCTCAGCCGTCGCTGTGACGGCTCAGGGGCCGAAGTTTATTGAAATGAGTATTTATCTCTTCCACTGCCAGAGTGTGTGTGTGTGAGTGTGTGTGTGTGTGTTTCAGAGACAAAAGCAGCGTTATGGCTCTTGCTGGAGCTAGCAGAAGGAGCAGAGGCTGACAGTGGGTGATAAGACCACCAGCCTGCTCCTTCTGATAATCACTCACTGGACCCCCACTCTCCCCACACACACAGAGCTTACACAGCTCTAAGTAGCCAGAATTCTGTGTGTTTTGTGTGTGTGTGTGTGTGTGTGAGTGTGTGTGAGAGAGAGTGTGTGTGTGTATGTGTGTGCGTGTGTGCATAGATAGAGGGAGTGCTGTGGAGCTGTATTACAGGCTCAGTGCAGTCTCTGTAGAACAGAGAGGATGAACACAGCAGCCTGTGTAAGAGAGAGAGCAGCGAGCGTCGCTTTTTGTCTTTTGGGCAGTCAGCAGGATGCCCACAAACTGTCCAGTGTTCTTAACCCCATGAACTCTTAGCTTAATATTAGGCGTATTGTGTTGTGTTGCTTCTTGTAAATGTTACTTTTATGTGTGTGTAAATTGTTTATTTTGTTTGGGCTAATAACATCAGACCTCAGGCACCATGGTTGTATATTAGCCAGCTGGCTAACCCTGGCACATTCACTTTTACCTTTATTAATGAGCATTGTCTCACATATATAGAAATACGGTCCTATGCAAAAGGGCACCCCAGGTCAAAATATGTTTTGTTGATTTTCCAAGTGAAAATTAAATTTACTTTTTTATAGCACCTTTACAAAAAAATCCAGGTCAAAGACCCAAATGAGCAAGCCAACAGCAACAAAGAAAAACTCCAAAGATTTTCTATCTTCATTTTTGTTTTTCAGTTTTTGACATAATTTGAAAATTCCCTTTATATTGTGTGTAAATTTCATGATGAATGGACCAAAAGAAATGGCCCAAAATGACTACTTTACTAATCTTTATGTCTGTCTCTGCTTTCTCTCTCAGGTGTTTGGCCTTCTGAAGAGGTGATGGCCTACTACTGTTTGAAGAAACGTCAAATGTTTACGTGAGTTTCTCTCTCTGTCTCTCTTTCTCTTTCTCTCTCCCCCTCTCTCTCTTCCCCTCTCCCCCTCTGCCCCCTCCACTCTTGCTCAGGCCATTTGACAGAGATGCAAGGGGCACTTTTTGATTTGCACTCAAGGCGGTACACGAGCCTTTGATTTCCTGTTTTTACATTCAAGAGGCAGAGGAGGGGAAGAGAGGCTTATCGATCACTCAGCCACAAGCTGAAGGTCAACTGGGCATACAGAGACAGAGCGCAGGGCGCTGAGCCCATGGGCCGCTCTGTGTGTGCGTGTGTTTGTGCGTGTGCGGTCTTTATGCACCTGCCTCTTTACATGCATCAAGGTTTGAAGCGTAAATATTAAGAGGACTTTCTGAAACTCTTGATCTCTTTCTGGCAGTTTCCTTCACTGCTCTTTTACCTCTTGTTTTCTTTTTTTTTCATTTTCTATTGTGTTCGTGTATGTATGTGTGACTAGCATGTCTCTGTGTCATCCAGGACTTTTGCCCTGGCACTATCTGGCGGAGCTGTTATCAAGCACTCCCCATAAAGAGAAGCAAGTGCGAGGATGAAGGAGTGTAGGAAAGAGAGAGAGAGAGAGGCAGGGAGGCAATTTACAGCAAGCTCCCATCTTTCCACTTGAGCCCTGCAGTTTCTGCCTCTCTCTATACTGGCCCACTGTACAGCCAAATAGCTACCTGTCACTGGGCCTTTGTCCCTGCTGAAGCTCATGCTAACAGCTTTGTGCACATTAATTTTTAATTGCACTCCTTGCAACAATCAGCCCTTCATCCTCCTTTCAGAGTCTGCCTCTCTGGAAGCTTATATATTACATGCTTAATACGCACAGTGCCCGCATTGTCTGATTTCAGTGGGCGACAAAGTTAGCAACGTTTGTTTTTTTTTTTAGAGCTGTAAATGACAGATCCTATATACAGATCTGAATACAGTTTCTTTCATTGGTATTAAAAATCAATGTCGAGGTGGTTACTCTCATAAAGCAATCCATTACAAATTACTAACTACCTCTCTCAAACTGTAATGAGATTACTGTCCCATTACATTAATCACATTACATCACACTCTTTTTTTTATTTCTAAGTTACTTTCTAAAACCCACACAAATCCGTACCAACTGGGAAGGACAAGGGAAAACCCAGTTGTCCTTTTCAGTGCTTTATTCAGAAAGAAATAGTCACAGTAAACATTGCTTAAAAGGCCTGTCTTTGAACAAGACATAGCCAGTGATGCTTAATCAAAAATTGGCTTATGTTGTTTGAAATACGAGAAACTAGCCGACAGAAACAAAAACAGCTGCCTCCAGGCCTCCAAATGAAATCTTAATGAATAAAGTGAAAATCAAGTCTGGCCTGTTTAGGTGAGATTGGAGGTCTCTAATCTTCAGCATATCAGTTTAATACTAATGTGATTAGATGCTTTGATAGATTCTTTGCAAAGTTTATGGTGCTCTTCCTGCTTATACTGCTGATTCACAAAAATCATAGAGTCAGCCATCACAGGCAGCACGTGTGCGCAAATTATGTACAAGGACAGGCACTGATAATCTATATAGAGGAAATGTATGTTTAGAATGCACCATGCAAAATTAATATTGTTCTCTTACAGACATGGTTGGGAGGGACATAAGCAGCTGATACTGTGCCTCACATAAATGGTCACTGATTTCACATTTAGTAAAATGGCCAAATCTACGAGGAGCTTGATTCAAATATCTTCAGGACAGTGCTGCAGATCGTATTTCTGCCAATATAAATGAAATACTTACTAAAATGTCTACAGAATGGCTAAACTGGGTGTATATAGATGGGTGAGGGGGGGGTTCTTTAGAATTCTCTGCTGGTATCAGGACGCTTCTTCCCAAAATGAAATCAATGGAAGGTGACGAATTTGCACGTATGCGTTTTTAATGTAATCCTATAGTCACCCTCTTTTTATAATGTATCTGTAATCTGATTACTGTCTTTTTCTGTTACTGTAACAGAATACAATTACCTTAGGTTTGTATCCTGATTACGTTTTCAAAGAAGTTGGGATGCTGGGCGAATTGTAAATTAAAACAGAATGCAATGATGTGCAAATCATTTAAACCCTATTTTAATTCAAAATAGTACATTCCTACATTCTCAACATACAATAGCGAAGAACTTGGGGATTTCATTTTCTACAGTGCATAATATCATTAAAACATTCAGAGAATCTGGAGAAAGCTCTGTATGCAAAGGACAAGCCCGAAAACCAGTATTGGCTGACCGTGATCTTTGTGCCCTCAGGCGACACTTCATTAAGAACAGAGATGAAATCTGTAGTGGAAATCACTGCATGGGTTCAGGAACACTAGCAGAAATCTTTGTCTGCGAACACAGTTTGTCACTGTATCCACAAATGCAAGTTAAAACTCTACTATGCAAAGAAGAAACCATATATAAATAGGATCTAGAAACACCGCCGGCTTCTCTGGGCCTGAGTGGAAAAGTGTCCTGTGTATGAATGAAAATTTTAAATTCTTTTTGGAAATCATGGACGTTGCGACCTCCAGGCTAAAGAGGAGAGGGACCAGCTGGCTTGTTATCAGTGCACAGTTCAAAAGGCACTATTCGTGATGGTATAGTGTGCATTAGTGCACATGGAATGGGTGACTTGCACATCTGTGAAGGCACCATAATGCTGAACGATAGCAGCATATCCACGTTTTGGAGCAGCATATACGGTCATCCGGATGACGTCTTTTTCAGGGCAGGCCATGTTTATTTCAGCAAGACAATGCTAAACCACATTCTTCATGTATTACAACAGCATGGCTCTGTAGTAAAAGAGTCCAAGTGCTGAACTGGCCTGCCTGCAGTCTAGACGTGTCACCTAGTGAGACCATTTGGCGCATTATGAAACAAAAATACGACAAAGGAGACTCATGCTTTTGTACTGATTATGCTGCTGAAATACCACATCAAGCAAGAATGGGTAAACATTTCACTTTCAAAACTACAGCAGTTGGTCTCTTCCGTTCCCAAATGCCTACAAAGTGTTGTTAAAAGAAGAGATGATGTGACCCAGTGGTAAACGTACCCCTGTCCCAACATTTTTGAAACGTGTTGCTGACACCAAATTATAAATGGGCATATATTTTTCAAAAAACAATACAATTTCTCAGTTTCAACATTTGAATTATTGTTTTTGTACTATTTTCACTATTTTGAACAGCGTCCCAACCTTTTGGAAATAGGGTTGTATTGCGTTACCACTCAGTCCTGCTTAGCAACATATGAGTAACACAGGTAATGACATTCTTATTAAGCCAGTAACTGTAATGTGATTATAAGAATTTAGACTGTAATGTATTACACTGTTTACAAGATTACAGAAAAATTAACAGCATTACTATAACATGTTACTTTGTATTGCGTTAACCCAATGCGTTAAAAATATGAATGCACCAGAGTATATCATGTCTGTTATGTATAGTACGTGTAATTTTTTCATGTGTGTTTGTGTTGGCAAAGCAAGCCCACAGGCCTGCCATCTGTACACACTGCAAACAGCACTGTGGGGGATCCTTATAACTCTAATTAAGTTAATCTTCCTGCTACGCTACAAATCCACCTTTTCTAGCAGAAAAAAGGACAATGTCACTTCCTTCTAAGAGAACAAGAGCGAGAGAGAGAGAGATTTGAAATCAATGAGCCCAGTGGAATTGCATTCCAATCAATGGCACTCCCCTACAGAGACAAGGTATGCACAGTTAATTAGAGTTATTGTACAGGCTCAACACTCATGCAGCTCTCTCTCTCTCTCCCTCTGTCTCTCTCTCCCCCATCCCTCTCTCTTGCTCTTACAGGGGTTCCTCTGTGTGCGAGTTGGGTGGAGGAATGACATGTCTTGCTGGGCTCATGGTAAGTCAAAAATGAGCTCAGACACACAACACAATCACAGGCAAATGGTCAATTTCAGCATGGATACCCAAACACAGGCATATTGTAAGCAATGTGAAATGAGTTCAAATACACAGGCATTTCCGCTCCAGCAGCTGGGGACCAACGGGCCAACTCCACATGAGCACATGCTTACACACAAGCATGCACATACATATGCATATGCATGCTCACACACACATGCGCACACACACATGTCCTGAGGGCTGGTGTGTCATGAGTGGTGGTCTATGGGCTCCCCTCCAGATGGATATGCTGTAGAGCTAATCGATCTTCTGCTGTGTCTTCATAAGACCTACCCAGCCTTATCTGCACCACTCAATACCCCTGTGTTGTGACATTGCAAAGCACCAGTGCAAAACCTCGACTCCTCTTCCCAGTCCCTCCATTCTGGTTCTCATCTCTCCTTCATTTCCTTTGTCTTATTCATGGTCATGTGTGCTATTCCCCAACCCTCCCATTCTCTTCTGTTCTCTTCTGTTCTCTTCTCTTCTCTCAGTATTTCTGTCTTCTCTTTGTTTCTCTTGTCATTATTTCCATCTTCTCTTTACTTCTCTACTCTAATATTCTGTTCTTGTCTATTCTCATCTCATTATTTCTATCTTTTCTTGTCTTCTTTTCCACTCTCCTTCTTGTCTATTCTCTATTCTCATTATTTCTATCTTCTCTTCTCTTCTCTTCTCTTCTCTCTGTCTTTCTCTTCTCTTCTCTGTCTTTTCTCTTCTCTCATTATTTATATCTTCTCTCACCTTATGTTCTCTACCCTGCTCTTCTCTTCTTGTCTATTCTTTTATCTCATTATTTCTATCTTCTCCTCTCCTTTCCTCTCCTCTCCTCACCTCTCCTCCTTGTCTGTTCTGTTCTGTTCTCATTATTTCTCTCTTCTCTTCTCTTCTCTTCTCTTCTCTGTCCTGTAGGTATGTGGTATTGGCAGTGACACTCATGTTCCTCTCGAGTGACTGCTCCGATGCCCTGAGGTCAGGAGCCATGTGGCGAGCTACTGTTGCAGGCTCCTTTGACCTGGTATCACTCCTCAGGGCGAGAGAGAGCGAACAAAAAAACACTAGAAAAACAGATGGAGGCAGTATTTATCCAGCATTCTTTTTTCCCCATCTCACGCATTCTCACGCTCCATCTCTGACTGTTTTTAATGATGACTGCGCTCACATGCATGGTACCAGCTAGATGTGACTGAGTAGAGCTCTCATTGGCCTTTTGACTGCTCTGTCTGTCTGTTCATCTGTCTGAATCTCCCTTTTATAACTTCCTCATTCTCATAAATACATAACCTATGTACTAGTTTCATAGTTTTACTGAATAATTCATAGTTGTTGTAATTTGATTGAATGTTCTCTGGCGTAACCATGAGTCAGCCTGTTGTGGGACGGGGCTTCAGTCAATCACTTTGATGTTTAAGATGAGAACTTAATCAATGCTGTCAGTTCACATTCAGAGCTGTACAATAAAAGCACTAAAGATCTATAAGGGCAGCCAACGGCGAGGTTGATAACAGCACTGTAGGTAGCTGTGATAAAGTGCTAAAAATTGTCTTGCTAAATGTGGTCACTGTTGGATATTCTAGGTTAGCAAAATTGATCAAATTGCTTCAGACTATGACTTTGTCCTTAGCTATGTGCTAGAATTCTGCATTTGCTTGAAATTAAACATTTCCAGATCTAACTGTGCCAAGGTTTTATTAACTTGTTTTTTAGATTAATCATAGCAGGCTAATCAATACCGTGTTGCAGGAAAACAAACTAGCAGTGCCTTTTTTAAGACTGCAAACCAAATTATAAGCCTAGTGTTTAGGGGCATAAGGACGCTTGCACAGACAGACAGAATCACTCACACCCAGTGATAGTGCAAAAGTCAGGGAACACGCTTCATTTGTTTAATTTCCGGTCAAAATGGCCGTTAAGTAACAGTTTCAGGAGATATTTCTGAGGAGATTAGATATAAGATAATCCACTTTCATAGTCAATGGAAAATAAGTGAGAAAACAAGAATTTCCAGAACTGGAGTATTACAAGATATTGAGAGAATTCCTAATGATTTCCAATGACTGTGCAAGGCCTTGTAGACCACCAAAACTGTCACCATTAGATAAACAGCACTTAAAGCTTTCATCTTTGAGAGAGAGGAGAAAATCAAGCGGCTTCAGGTCTGAAAACATCCACAGGTGTTTCTGTCCTCCTTCCACTGTGAGAAGACAACTCAGCACTATGAGTCTGAAAGGATGTGTAGCTGTCAAGAAGCTCTTACTGAATAAAGGAAATAGACCAAAAAGAATAACATTTGAAAATCAAACAAAACTCCTGGTGTTCTCAGAACAATGGATTCAATGGATTCTAAGACTGAACTTTAGAGGTGCAGAGAAATATGGAGGCTGTAATAAAGGCAATGAATGGACACACTAAATGCTGAAAAATTCTGTGTAATTTTATGTTTTCTGCTTTTTTCCTGAGGCTGAAAAATGAATAACTTGAATACGTAATAGCTATTTTGGCTGGAGGTAAATAAATGAAGAGTGGTCTCTTATTTCTGCACAGTACTGTACACATGCAAGAGCAGTCCACAAATGCAGTGTATAGATTTGCTTTGACATGCCACTTCCCCTTTGTGTTAAAAAATCCCATCTTGCACACACATACACACACACACCCACACACACACCCCTGCTCTTCCTGAGCCCACCTCTACCCACACTCCCTCTTCAAAACAACGGCGACACACACCCCTCCGATAAAGACAACCACTTGAATGAAAAGATGGTACGAAAGAAAGGAAAAAAATAGGGTAACAAAAGGCGAGGGAAAGAGTGAGAGCACAAAAAAGCAGAGGCAGCACGGTACAAAGTTATATGAAGGGCATCAGGCAGGCCTGGCGAGCCGAGTGCGGAGTGACAGCGGAGCGCGATGGCCCCGCCTGATAAACGCCTCGCCGCAAATGAAAGGCTCGGCGCTCGCCATCATCCCCTGTCACAATGCAATTACCCAACAGAGTGATAGCAAGATAGAGGGCTCCCAGCCACCGGGAATGATAAAAGTATTGACTGATTTGATTGAATGATTAAAATAATGCAGACGTAAAATGAAAAAACGGGCCGAGAGACAGAAGGGGAGGGATGAGAGGAGACAGAGAGAGGGAGAGAAAGGGGGAGAAATGGGTAGGGAGAGTAAAAGAGAGAGAGAGGGTGGTCTGTGTGCAGAGGGGTTTTAAAATTCCGAGAGGTGTGTGTGTTTGTGTATAAGGGGGATGTTTTGTTTTTGTGATTTTTTGTGTGTGTGTTTTCATTTCCTGGGTTTTCATCTTTGTCTCTGTCTTCTGTCTTTTCTCTTTTCTCTCAGATTGCGGTTTGTGCTGATGTGAAGGAAGTGCTGCTATCTGATGGGAATGAGAAGGCCATCCAGAGTATCCTCCGTATACTCAGCAACTACTGTGTGTGTGTGTGTGTGTGGGTGGGTGTGTGGGCTTCAATTTTCTGATATCATGCACCCTTTTTTACCCAAAAAAAATAACAAAGCATTGTTGTCAGGCGCTTTGTATTTGAATCTTTTGTCTAGAGTAGGTTAGCGTGTTCAGTCTGGAGAAGCAAGATGCTACCACCATGCGCTCTACTTCGGGGGTCACCAGTCTTATCCACAAAATGTCAGTGTGGCTGCAAGTTTTCATTTCAGTTGAGCAGTTCAGTCAGTCCTCAGACAATTAGTGAGTTATATGAGGTGTGCTTGGTGCGTGTGCTTGGTTGGAATCAAAACCTGGAGCCACACCTGGCCTTATTGGATAAGATTCTGAATGATCCTACTCTACATGATCCACATGTTTAACATGTTCTACACGCTTTACACGCTGATTCAACACAACTAATTAACAAGCTCCTTATGGGATGGGTCAGGAGTGTGGAGTAGGGAAAACAAAACATTTGCAGAGCGTGGGGTCACCAGGGCTGGGATTGGGAACCTCTGCTCTACATGCTCCACATGCTCTACACACTCAACAAGCTCCTCACACTCTACATCCTCTACACACTTTACATGCTCCACATGCTTTGCACACTCTACATGCTCTACTCACTTTACATGCTCTACAAGCTCTACATACTGTACATGCTCTACACACTCTGTGCTTTATATACTCTACATACTCCACATGCTCTATATGCTCTACAAGCTTAACATGCTCTGCACATTCTACATGTGCTAAATGCTGTTCATGTTCTATATGCTTTACATGCTCTACACACTTTACATGCTTAACCTGCTTTACACGCTCTATATGCTCTTCATACTCTGCATGCTCTATATATGCCACGTGCTCTATATGCTCTTCAGGGGTGTCAAACTCAATGAGTTAAAGGCCCATATTAGAAAATCACAACAAACCTGTGGGCCTGCGAAAGTAAATGTTTTTATTTAATTTTTTAAGTAATGTTGTGCTATAACCCAAACTGACCATCGTTTATTCAAAATACACAAAAACTTCAACAGTAAAATATAGGCACTTTTAGTAAACCTTCAAATATTACATGAATACTTGAAATATTTAAAATTTAAATGCCCTCAGGAGCTCAGTCTTTTAAACTTACCTATCTGCTTGACCTAGGCACCTGGCATCCTTTCTTTGCTGCAAGCTGTTTAATACTTGGGCCCAATTTCTGAGCTGCTGAGCTGATGTTGGGTGTTTTATATTGGCTGAACTGCAGCTGAAATGCAGCTAGTGCGTTTGGTAATATGTCTGGTGTGGAATTAGGTAGAATTGTGTAGAACTGGTGTAACTGGTGTCTCATAGATTGTTGTTGGGGGAGGAGAATCGGAGTGCACATAATGTTGCAGTGCATGCTGGGGGCTGTAGTGCAGTGCGTTGTGAAACAGGCTAATATTAATAGAAAATTAAATTACTTCTGTGGGTCGGAGAGGATTGCGTCATGGGCCTGATCTGCGGACCTTGTGATTGACACATGGGCTCTACATATTCTACATGTTTTACACATTTCACGCTCTTTGTACTATACATGCTCCATACTGTACCTGCTCAATATGCTCTACATACGCTTATACGTTCGATACATTTCAAGCTCTTTGTGCTATACATGCTCAATATGCTGTACACGCTCTACAAATTCTGTACTCTTCACGCTCTATATGCTCCACATTTTATGCACTTCACACATGCCACCCTTTACACACTCCATACTCTGTGTGCTCCAGACTCTAGACACTTTGTGTGTTCCCCACACGTTTCTCTGCATGCACTCTCTATACTCTCAGTGCTCCACAGTCTACACATTCCTCATGTGCCACTCTTCGCAAGCTCTACTTCGCTCCTCCTGGTGTAGATGCTCCACACACTCCCCACGCCTTACACCAGATGTGTCAAACTGAGTTCCTTTCAGGCCACAGCTCTGCAGAGATTAGCTTTTCTCATCTAGTGTTCAGGTAGGTTCAGGTAGGCCTTGCTAATTATCTGAGTTGAATCAGGTGTGATAAATGAGGCAGAACAGTGAAATCTGCAGTGCTTTGGCCCCCAAGGATTGGAGTCTGACACATGTGCTTCACACACTCCACATGCTCTATATGTTCCATACAGTCTGTACACCACGTGGACTACACCATTCACACACTCTATACTCCATACACTTCACATACTCTGCACACATTGTAATTCCTCATCTCATCTCTCCAAAAAGGAACATTCACTCATTATTAACATGCATGCACCTACGCACACGGTGACATAATGTTCTCTTAGATTACCCTGCCTGAGGCACATCCTCTCTCCGTCTGTCTCTCTCTCATACACACACCTCGAGAATAAGTCAAATCTTCCAGCTGACACCCAAAGCTGCCATTTAGTATGATTAATACATATTCATGCCACTGAAGGCTGCAGCTGTCTGTTGATTCACCTGCTGTATCTCCTTTCTTATTCTCTCAGTCTCTTCCTGTCCCTCCTACTCTCTCATTCTTTCTCTTAGTCTCTCTCTTCTGCTTCTTCTTCTTCTTCTTCTTCTTCAGTTCCTCCCACTGGAGCGCATCCATCTCACGACAGCCTAAACCACCCGGCGCACAAAAGCCGGAAAAACAGCGGCAACAGAGATGACGGCAAATACGGCGAAATTACAGCACCCGTGTTCGTTAGCACAACAGCCGCCGCTGAGACGACAATGGGCCTTTATTGAATCTCAGCACCCGGCGAACAATGGTGGTGACACGAAAACGCACACAATTCTCCATTGAGAGGAGAGATTTGTTTAAAAGAAAGGAGTCCAAATGGAGGGGAAGGGTGCCGAGAACGGATAATCAGAGAGGACACGCTCGCAACAGTCAGAGTCCGTGCCTAAGCCATTTCCTCTTATAGAGAGTGAAAAGGCTGCCGGTGGGTTGATAGAACATTAATTGGCGGCGCTTTGTGCGAGAGATGTTTCTGCCATAATAGAGCACTGATAGATCTGATGATGTGATTGGAGCCAGAACAAGGCCGCTTGTCCCTGGAGAATAAAAATAACATTCCTGTATGTACACTGTATAGGTTTTTCAAAAGGCAGAAATGGAGGGGAGGAAAGGAGTTCAGAACAGTTCTATTAGAGCACAATAGGCTTGTGAAATGATTACTCCAAACTGTGCCCAACCTGTAACTATGATAACTGATATGGAGCCTCCATATGGTGCTTGGTCTCAAGCTCATCCAGCCTTGAATTACAGGCTGAAGATCAGTGGAAGTGTTCCATTATGTCTAAAATATTGACATTCATGTAGTAGAGAAACAGAAAATAAATATTCGTAACCCTTGAAACTTCAAAGACCCATCAGTGGGTGCAGATTGTTCTTCCTTACTCTCATAATCTACATACTACTCTGTAGCAGTGACTGAATGATTTGTAGTCGTTACTGGATAACAAGCCTTAATATTAATCACTGAATAAAAAGAGTGCAGTTTATTGAGTTAACTTGCTGTCCAACTTGGTTCCCTGTCTCTGTGTGTATGTAGAATTTTAGAAAATTGCTTGGTATTGTTGTGCCCGTTGGCGCAGATGCTAATTTTGAAAGGGCGTGGGTTCGAATAACTACATAGTCACCAGGTGTGGTTAGGCATGCTGCAACGATGTCCAGTCAGATCAACCAAGAGCTGGCTGTATGCTTCTTGTGCAGGTGTGCTCTTACAGACATGGGGGTTTGTATTGGCTAATTGCTCGACTCTGAAAGCAATAGATTTGGTAAGTATTTTAAAGCAATAATCCACTAATGGATGTGGGTTACAGTAATATTATCTCTGTTATGGAATGTTTTTGCATAATGCAAAGTGAAGTAAAATCACTGTAATGCATGACCTCAAGTGTTGATGCTTTCAGAGAACTGAAAAAGTACACACGTTTAATAAATTATTTTTAAATAATTTTTAATGATCACAAACAATTAACACGCTGCTACTACTACTGCTACTACTACTACTACCACTACTACTACTACTACTACTACTACTACTACTACTACCACTACTACTACTAATAATAATAATATTAATAACTTTATTTATGTGACATTTTACAACTGGAACCAGATCAAAGTGCTTTACAGCCTTAAAAGTAAAATAAAAATGAGAGATGCAGATACAGTGGAAAAAAGTAAAAGAAAACACCAGTACCTAAATGTCACTAAGCCAAATACAACTGAAAAAATAAGTATTAAAAGGGAATAAGCTCTAAGAAAAAGCTTAAACAAAATAAACAAAAGCAGAAATAATAGATGAAATTAAATGAACTCTTCAGCCAAGCTCTGTAGTTTGTTAACAGTAGGTGTTACCTGTCAAGCAGCATTACAGTAAGAGATTATGGAATGAATAGCACACTGTTTTTAACAACTTGGTGCATTTCATGTGTTGGCTCATTCATGTGTATGTCGAATATACTACAGATGCTTAGAATTTAGATCTGCCAATCAGATTTTAGAGCCCAAAGTACTTTTTATTGCATTTGTTTAGTGATTCTATTATGTTTTTTTACATAATAGTATGTCAGCTGTCTGATTCACAATTACTGACCACAACTGAGTCATTTCAATGGTTTAATTACTAAAAAATAAGGACAGCTGTATTCAGTTACTTATCTGAAGTTGTGCTAAGAGTGAGTCTGCTGAGTGGGTAGAGAAAGTGTCATTCCACTCACACCAGGGCAGATGTGCTCATTTCTGGCCATAAAAGAAGAAACTTTGTACATACAGTACTACTTATATATGTGTGTGTGTGCCTGCACGAACATTGTTGCCACTGTGTGCTACCTGGCTCAGAGTACACATACGGTGGTTTGAGAACATAATTCAGTTCAATTCAAGATGAGGACGTTGTGAAGTTTAACACAAACAGTAAAAGTAATGGTAACCAAAGAGTTAGTGATGATAATGATAACAACAACAATAATAAAATACTCAGTAGCACAATAACACTCTCCCTCTCTCCCTCTCTCAGTCTCCTTCTCTCACTCTCTCATTGTAGTACTTGCGAATTTTGAGTACAGTTCTATGTAAACGTCCTTCTTTCAGACAGTTGAAGATTTATGAAGTCAAATCATGTTCCATGCACTTGTTTATCACTATAAGGCATGGCTCGAATGTATGGAGTGTTAGTGGGTGTGTGTTGTGTGGATGGTGATGTGATACGCAGCATGTCTGACCTCTCCCCCAGTGGGCTTCTCCTGATGAGATTACACTGTAAGCTCTGCTGTATCTCCTTAGCGGCTGATCGCACCCGTGTGACACACTTCCCCAGCCTCTCTTACCCTGCCCTCCTCCATCAGCAACACTCAGAGTCTCCGAGCCGCACTATGCGCTACAGATTGGATTTGCTGTGGCTGTTTGGTGTGGAGAGGGACCGGACAGGAGGAGAAAAGGGAGAAATCCTAATTGAATTAGCTTAAAACTGTGGTCTGGTCTATTAATAGATGGGCTACCATCAGTCCTGCTGTAGAGCACGCTGGGTGGAGGCTCATTGGGAGCTGTGGCTACAGGTTAAAAGCCTTCTTATTGATTGTCTATGGGGAAGCTTTGCAAGAGTTGGTTTTGTTCTTGCTGGTAATCCAAGGATGAGAGAGCGATAGGAGGGAGGGATAGAGATGGAGGGAGGCTGGTATGTAGGGTATGCCTGGCTTAACATCATACACAATTTAAAAAAAAAAGGAGCTTATCATGTACATTGAAGACCTAATACATTGAAAGTTTCATGCATATTTTGCAGCTAAGCCAGTTTTTACAGCAACTGAGACAACACAACAACTTTGTTGCTGAGAGTTGTGAACTTCATATTGGATTAACATTCTGTATCAACAGGCGTTTCTGCATTTCTGTTTTTGTCCGTTTGTTTAGATATTCAGAACCACAAATGTGGCAAAAAATTACAGGGTGGTTTTTCTTTCTGCAAAACAAGACTGTATACAACAAGATTTCATCAAATTCAAATCATAAAAAATCTTAATGATTGGCACAAATGTGGTGTTAATTGAAAGTTTAATATTCACACCTTTACGGCTGGGCAATATGACAATGATTATTGCTGTCATGATTAATTATTATATAATTAATTCTATTATTATATTATTATAATTAAATTCCACACACTTGTTTATAACTATAACGCATGGCTTGAATGTATGGAGTGTACATGTACACATGCTGCAAGTATTGCAGTGGATCAGGACTTACGGGTGTTTGACATTAAAATGCTGAACAGAGAACATGACCACATTCTATAGGTTTTCCATTTCCCTATTTTTTTTAAAAGGTTTAGTACTGTGTAAAAGTTTAAGGCACCTATAGAAAGTGATATTTAAAAAGCTATTTATCTGATCAGTAAGCACTTATATTCCCAGATGATCACATAAATATTAGAACAAATACCAATAATATTAGCCTAAAGACAGAGTGTATGAGTGTGTGTTTATAGGCAGGAATGTGTTTTTATGGAAGACCTTAAAAAGCCTTTACCTTGACCTCCTCATCAGATGTTCGTGGTGTCATCGAGAAGAACAGACAAGCTGGACTTTTCGGCTCCACTGATGTGTCCAGCAGGTGAGCTTTCTACTGATGGACAACATCATCATTTACCAGCTTCACACGTCTACACCATCTTCTATATTTATTGAGTATGCTTCGAAAAGTGCACTTGAAGTAATAACCTGAGAAAAAAAATGATTTACTCTTTCTTCCCCTTAGTCCAAATGCACTCAGTCAGCCAAGGCATCTGATGTCTGAAGTTTGCTTCTTTAGTTTTGCACTGGAGCTGTGAGGCTAATGTGGCTAACACATAATGAAAGCTTATAGCTCATCAGTTAGCACCACGCTAACTGAAGGCATGTTGAGTTTAGTAACCTCAAATAGACTTGCTTATGTGTTATTTTAACACATTATGACATACTGTTATCTATAAATATGGACGAAGTCCATCACTTCGCTAAAAACAGTGGAAACAGCTACCAAAGCCTGAATTGCATCCTGTAGTTGTTTTTTTAACATATAACAGCTACTTCTTTAAGGTGACTTGATCCGCAGGCTTTCAAATAGGCCTGTGCTCGGTTATGGTTAACCGAGTTACCACGGTAACTGCTCCCAGTGAGGGTAAAAATTCATTTACCTCCAGTTTAAAAAAGGGTCATGGGTGGTCTTGGATAGTAAATAAAAGGGTTATATCTGTGTTATAGACATTGTGACCCCTGGTTCCTGTCACCACCACTGTAAAGAAATCTGAGTCTGTTAATTTCTCTACAATTAACCATTTCTCATCAATTCACTTTAAATATTTTTTTTTACTTCTCAACAAATTATATGTGTAAGTTTTGCAGCATTGGTGGAATTCTCCCTTATTTAGGACCACAACCCCAAATTTACAGAACTGTGCTATTTTTATGATCTTTTATTTAACAAAGACTAAGCTCCACTTACATTCTATCACTGTGTTTTCTCCCGCAGTAGGGACAGTCTCAAAATGATCAAATTTACCCTCCCACCACCAAGTCCCGGGTTTAACCCTTTGCCATGGTTATTTCCAACACTATTACCTGAATAAGAGGACTTTGTTTTTAGTACAGGCCTACTGTCAAATTTTGCCTAACTGTGAGAAGCAAACGGACGTTTGGTGGGAAGTGTGAGTAGCGCACCGGTATTTCGGGTCATTGTCAAGCCTAGTGCTGGAGGATGGGGTCACGTGACTTCAAGTTACCCTTTGAACCAAGTTGCCTCTGTAACTAGGTATCAGCATCCATGATTGAGAGCTACAATCACATGCACTGAGTCCAATCTCAACAGGGTGATGAGCCTCTTTCCATGATTGAAGCCTCCATCACGAAAACACACACACCTCCCGCATTTCCCACAACACAGCTCACAATCTGCGTACCGCCATTCAAATGCATTATCACCTAAAGTAATTTTGGTGTTCAGTGATCTAACTGCTCTCTTCTCCTCTTTTCCTCTCTCTCTCTCTCTCCCTCTCTCTCTCATCTCTCTCTCTCTCTCTCTCTCTCTCTCTCTCTCTCTCTCTCTCTCTCTCTCTCTCTACACACCTCCCTCCTCCCTCTGTATTTACCCTGGGCTGATGAAGTGCAAGAGTAAACGTATAATTAGCCTGCATTACTTTGATTGTTTTCTTTAGAGATTAGGCTTCCTGTCAGAGCACGCGCTTTGAGTGGGGTGAAGGTCGTGCGTGATTGGACGAGGGAGGGGGCTGGGGGGGGTTCTCTTTCTCAACTCAGTGAATAAGCGGCGTGGCCCCCCACTGAGAGAGGAGATTGTATTTCCACAAGACATAATTTTTGTTTACTGACTGTTAATAATGGCTAATTAATAATCAGATTCGCCAGCCTGAAAATCGGCCTCGCCACTTAAGGAGGAGATAGGTGCGAAGAGGAGAGAGAGAGAGAGTGAGTGAGCAAGAATAAAAAGTCAACTGTTGTAACTGTCTCTACCTGGTTCTGGACAGTCTACTTTGGGCGTGGAGATCGGGAGGGTGGGTGCAGTGGCCCACTAACAGTTGCAGTCCTAGAACGTGGAAGAGCACTGCCTGCTCAAACAAACAGTATTGTGTAGAAGTCTCAGACCACCCTTCATTTATTTAATTTCTAGTCAGAACGGCCTCTAAGTACCGCTTTTTTCAGGAGATATTTCTGAGGAGATTAGCTAAAAGATTATCCACTTGCACAAGGAAAGGGAATGTCAAAGGAAAATCAGTGAAAAAACAGGTGTTTCCAAAAAATGATTAAAAGATACAGAGAAAATGGGACTTCTAACAACCATGCAAGAACTTGTAGACCATCAAAACTGTCCCCATCAGATAAACAGTGCTTGAACCTTTCATCTTTGAGAGATGAAAATCAAGCTCCACTTTAGATCTGAAAAAGCCGGGAAGTGTTTCTTTTCATCTTTCCACTATGAGAGGACAGCCCAGCGCCATGAGCCTGAAAGGTAAAACTGGTAGCTGTCAAGGAAACATCACTAAGAAAAAGAATTTGAAGATCAAAGAAGCTGCACAGTGACTGAAAAATGCACTGTCCACCAGACCTCAACATCATTGAATGTGTTTGGGATTACTTGGATCGTGCGATGCAGAACATGCAACCAACTTCTAAGACTGAGCTTTGGAGGTGTGGAACAATGTCCCTTCAAATTTCTTTGAAAAAATAATGCAAATCTCCTGAAAACAATGGAGGTTCTCTGAACTTGTAGTGTAATATCTTGTTAAATAAGGTTTTCTGCTTTTTCCTGACATTCCAGAAATGAACAACTTTTACTTGGTAGCTGTTTTGACTGGAAAGATAAATAAATAAATGAAGGGAGGTCTCTGATTCTTGCAAAGTACTGTGCTTGATTTGACTTTGCAGTTATTTACCAGGTTTAGTATGTGTTGGAGTGGATAAATCTCAAGCTCTGCTGGCTACAAAGTAGTAGTTAAAACAGTCTGAATTAGGGTAAATATCATCACTGTCAGCTACTGTGCTTTCTTTCACTCATTTTGTTCTCTGTTGTTATCCTTCTCTGATTGTTGTTCTCATGTACACAAATGCTCACAGTGCAAGTCTGTTGTTCTTCCTCAGAGTGGTCAGATGGGACAGTGAGGTGGACGTGTCCGCTCTGGAGGGCTACTTTGATGTGGTGATGTGTGCTGACTGGTAAGTCTCAACCGGTGATGGTGCTATGATTGGGCCCATTTTTTTTATTATTGGCCCACCCAAAATGACTGCTTAATACTTTCAATATTAAAATCTCAAAATAAACAATCTGAAATACAAATGAAAACACACTTGCTAAAGTGACACATTCAAATTTCCATTTTTGACACTGACCAATTGCAATCCTAGTTTAACCATTTACTGTAACTATACACCCTCAGAAATAAAGGTAATAAAGAAATAAACAGTCACTGGGGCAGTACCCCTCTTGTCACTGGGGTGGTACCCTCAAGGGTACATCTCAGTACCTTTAGTCAGGGAACATAATTGTACCATAATCCATTGAAATCATATTTTCTAAGTTGTATTGACTCCACACACCCCGTCTCGTCTCCAGGCTTTTTATTTTATTGTTCTGTTTTAAAACATTTGGTTATGAAAAGGTACAAATATGTACTTTTCACCTGGGAAAATTTATTTAATGTGCACAATTGGACCCTAACACCACATTTACATTGTTTGTACCCTGTTGAACTAAAAATGTACCTGCACTGAACCTTTATTTCCAACAGTGTACTGTAATGCATCGACGTATCGCTCCCTCTTGAGCCTTTAACATACTGTAAGACACCCAGCTACAGTTTCTTGTGAGTTTATGAGTTTATTGAGTCCCATGTTAGAAATGATACTGTTAGTGTTTTGGAGATAAATATGGAGATTGCTGTTACATGGATTTAAGGATTAAAGCAAATTAATGCAGCTGGTTTTAACAATGAAAGTAGCCAGGCACACAATATAGGACTAGATAAAGAGTAAGCACAGTTTTCCAAATCTGAGCATGACAATCATCAACCAGCTCATAAACACTGCAGACTTAAATGCCAGAAAGCAGCAGCATATTTTAGTTATGTCAATCATTATTGCTCTTATGTACAAAGCAACTTTTTTTCTATCATGAGCTTTTTTTTTGGAGTTTCATGTGTTCAGTAAGCAGGTCTACATGTAGGATATGTCTCCTTCTGCAGTGATTCGACAACACTTAGTAAGCGACTCTGTGATGGCCCTTGATTTGGTCAAAAAATAAGCCATAAATCACCTTCCTTGTAGAACTGTCGCCCCTCTTTCCATTTTTTTTTTTGTGTTGTAGTATGTTATTGTTAAAGATGTCTGATGTCTGTTTGTACATCCACCCCCGAGTCATTTAAACATCCCCCTTGATTTTTTTTTTAATTAGACCTTTTTTTTTTTACAATGAGAAAGTTAGATCTCAGCTACTTTGATGTTTTATCACCTGCTTATTATTTGTTAACTACTATAAAGTCTTCGCCAACTACTATGAAACCAGTAATTCAGTTCACTTTGATTCCATTCAATTCAGTTCAGCACAATTCAACTCAATTCAGTCAGTTCAGCTCATTTGAGCCCATTCATTTTCCCCCTATTTGGTTTGTAGTAGGTAGAAAGCAAGTAACACCACAGTTTAAAACACTCTTTACACATACACAAGTCAAGTCACCTTTATTAATGTAACATGTTTAAAAGACAAAAAGTGTCGGCCAAAGTGCTTTGCAAGCAAATCAACTTCAATGAAAACGAAAAGAAAAAGAGATTAAAACAAGTGCCACTGATGTATGGTAAAAACTGCACAATAACTTCAACAAGAAAATTATCCTCATAAATCAGATAGTTCTGGTCCAAAAATCTGATTGGCTGAGCCACGTTCAAAGCTGTTGTAAAGTACAGGATGTACGCACATCTATGACCGAATTCTGCATTACTGCGTCACGAAAATTCCTTGTGCTGTTAGTGGATTAATTTTTTACTCTAATCCTGCTCACATGGACCACCAAGTATACTGATGAAGTAAGAACTCATTTTCTGTTTAAACTGAGGGACTGACAACTTATTTTCTTAACTAGAACTAGGCTGGTCAGCTAGCTAACAGGCTAAAAGAGAACTGCAATATAAAAATCTAAAGAATGTCACTTCAATGGCTTACACACTTCAAATATCTGTGTTTGTCAGAAGTAACATCAAATCCAGGCAGAATCTCGAATGGCTCCGTATTCAGCGGGCCATGATTTCTTGGTAGCGATACCATCCTGTAAAGCAGGGGTGTCAAACTCAACCACTAAAAGGGCCATATTAAAAATCTCAAGAGATCAGTGGAGCAGAGAACACCTGTGTTTTTATTTGATTTTTAAATAACATTTTGCTATAACCTGAGCTGACTATTGTTTATTCAAAATACAGCAAAACGTCAACAGCAAAATATAGGCACTTGTATGTCACATGAAAATATGTCACATGAGTAATTTGAAAATTTTGTTTTAATAGATAAAATATAAAAGTCAAAATGAAAAGACTGATTTAAAAATTGTAGTATGTCACATGAAAATATGTCACATGAGTTATTAAAAAAACATTTTTTTAAATAAATAAAATATAAAATATGTAATACATAAATATTTTAAAAAGTCTCTAGGAGCTAGGTCTGCCCTACCTGTTTGCTTGATCTAGACACCTGACATCTTTGCTTTGCTGCAAGCACATTAATTCTTAGGATCAGTTCCTGAGCTGCTGAGCTAAATGTTTATGTTGGTTGGACTGCTGCTGAACTGCTGCTAGTGTGTTTGATGTATGACTGGTGTGATAGAATTGAGGTGTAACTCTGCTTTGCATCGTGTCTAAGAACACGCTTCCCCGTGATAAAACTGCATCATGACAACGCACTATGATTTGCGCACTTCAAAGCTTTCAAAATGAATAATAAAACCATAACTTCAGCTCTACATCTAATTGGTTACCAACATAAGGTGGCATGTATAGGGCTGATGCTTTTCTTTACCTTTACCTCTTTACTTTTTCTTGGTTCCAGTCAGGAGCCTTGCAGCTACTGTTTTGGGCCAGCAGCAGACACGACACACTTCAGAATCATGCAGGAAAGAGACATGTGCTAGTATGTAAGTTATGTAGTTATGCAAGTAAAGTTTGAAGTGTGGGCCCACATACAAGCCTTTGCGGCTTAATGGGTTTTTAAATACACTAACCACACCGACATCTCACCTCCAACCCTCTCATTTATGGCACAAAAGAACCCACAATGATCATCCATACACAAACCCGCTCTGTTACAAGTTTACAAACATCCACAGGTAGCGCAGCTCTCCGTGCCATCTCTGCTCTCATCACTGTGAACCAAATATCATATCTCACCCTTTAGCAGCTTTTTCAGCCGCAATATGTCCACACCCTCAATAACGGTGCACGGCTCGTTGGCCTGGTGACGGTGCGCTAATATCCCCACGCGTGGCGCTTATCAGATGGCAGCCGTCAGCCCCAGGCTGGCACCACGTTACTTCCCCTCGGCTAACTCCGCCAGGCATTTCCATTTTTCCCCAAATTGCCTCTTTTTTCATGCTCGGCGTCCCAGCAAATGGATGTCTTAGGCAAATTGCAAATAATTATGCCCGTGTGAGGAGCAGGGAGAGAGACAGAGAGAGGGAGAGAGAATAACACAAACATTTCAATTAGCCCGCTTCTTAACATAGATCGCACTGCTGATTTGTCTCCCTATCCTTATGCTGTGTGCTCCCTCATGTAGAGGTAAAATGGTCTGCTAAGTTCAAACTTGATTTTTTGCTAATTATGTAACACAACTAATGTAACATTACTCTCAGGGACATTAGCTTGTTAGATTAGATTGGAGTTCCAGCCTCTGTTTAATGGCTACTGAATGGAAGTTAAAACTCAATCGAAATGAAAAGACTGATTTAAAAATTGAATTTTAAGAAGAGGCATATTTTTAGCTCTTAAAGGTTGCAGGTAAAGCTGGCAAAAGCAGTTTGCTATGGCTTATTTCTCATGTGTAGCTCATTATAACAAGTGGGGAAATTCTGTCAAAAATGCACAATTTAACTTGAGATTATTTGTGTGCGTAAATAGAAAAAGGAGGTATTTTGTTATGGTTTAAGTTGTTTAAAAGATTTAGTGTACAGAAATGTTCTTTACAGTTTTGCCATGTTTTATTCATGGTTTGGGATCAAACCAAACAGAAGAAAAACGTTAGCGGTGCACACTCGAACTTCTCAATGCAGAATGTAAATGAAATGTAATTCATAATATGACTGTTTAACATATCGTGTAATTGGATGAAGACTAGTGCTGTCAGACTGTTAGAATGATTAATCACGATTAATCACATTTGTCATCATTGCTCTAATTTGACCCTAATAGTAATTCATCTTAATTAAGAAAGTGTTTTGTTTTAGCTATATCGGTGCACAAAGTAATCAGAATAAATTTATTCCCTTCAGTAGTTCTACTTGAACGTAGAGGCGAAGGTGAAAATGAAAATAAGGTGAATGCAGTTTCTGCTTTTCGTCACTGATGTCCGTTGAGAGCCACACTGGCTGCATGTTCCATCTCTTCCTCAATTATAGCTTCACGCTTTCCAACTGCTATGTTGCATCTTGTTTTGAGCTTTGGCTGTTGCTGACGTTTTGAACTGGAGCTTTCCATGTTGCTGTTGGTTTTGTTAGTTTTCAGGTAGTAGATTTATCCACATTTTTCTCGTGATCAGCGTAGCATCCTCCAGTGCTAATGTTGCTGATATTACTGGTATTGCCTGTATTAGTGCTGTGTTTGGCTTGTAAATGAGATATTGGACTTAGTGTACTTCGGCGCTAAACAAATTCGCAGCATGGCAGTAGATGGAAATACCTTTTATAAAGAGAGCCATCAATAAAACCTGCCATTAAAAAGCTGTATTTCTATGAGAGGGCTACACAGTGGCATTACCAGCGTGTGAGCGGCTGGGCTTTAGGCTGGAGCAATGGATGGTTCAATGGGTCAAACTACGAATATATGTTACTGGTGTAGGTGCTGTTCATAATTTATCACGTTAACACATAAACTTTGACAGCACTAATTACATTTAGAAAGTATAGCAAAATGACACTAATAACCCAAATTCTAAGGGTTAATTCTGTTGACTACTT